CAGTATGGCTTAACTTTATTGAACTCATTGTTAATGAGCATCGGAAAAAACCGTTATAAGCACAACTGAGCCATATCTTTACCTTGATATAAATTAATAATTACTGATTATTTATATATCATTCAAATAGTTGTTTGGGAAAAGACACTTCTTTACCAATATATTAGTTGACATCAATCAAACTGAATATATAATCAGTGAATTAATACTAAAGTGTACAAAACAATTCATTGTGGAAAGGTGATTAATTAAGTAGTGCTGAAACTATCGTTTCCACCAATATATGTATACAGAGGGTATGGATGTAAATATACTACTCAAAATGTATTTAAATAATTACTAAGTAACTTTATTATGGTATTTGGCTTATTCTCATAGATTCGGTAATAAGATCTCTTATCATACATTAATGTGTTTTGATGTAAAATAATCAATAATTGGTTCTTTCCTATTACATATTTATTTATTGTCCTGAAATCATTGTGACAAACTACAAATATGTGCATTAATTGATCTATCGACTTATGCATAGATTAATGAAAAACAAACAAACAAACAAACAAACAAACAAACAAACAATCAAATACTGATATGATCTTTCATACTTTATTAGAATAAAAACTTTGATTATAATGTAGATGTAATGTGTTGGATGTTTACAGAGTAGCTTTTTACCCTCATTAATTCATATTCTACCATGATCTAAACTAGTTAGTCTTAAATTTTTCGGAAACAATTCTACTTTGAATCTGTAATCTTTATACAAGCAAAATATTTTTGTAGAGGTAATGACAGAAATATATGAAACAATTACCCATTTTATCTACAAACCAAAGTATATACTGCTGATTTCAAGTTTCGGTTTTTCAATCCAGTCACTATTATGTGATCCTGTGGCGATAGTAATGCAAGGAGAGCAAACGTTGTTCAATAATGAAATGAGCCAAATAAATTCATGAGATGTTCAATACATTCTCATTTAGGGAATGTATGAAACTAAATTGATAAGTAACCAGTACTTAACGCTGTTAATAGAGTTCTGAAGAAGATTTTTATGGCTTATACGTCACTTTTTACCAAGCACAGTTAATAAGATTTTCTGATCAAACTTATTACATACAATAGTCATTTGTTCTGACCCTTTTCCTAACATAAGTTTCATCAATCATTCAGGGGTTACAATAATCTTTAATTTTGTCCTGTTTACTTTTGACACTTGTGTACATCCATCACTATATTTTATTCTCATTATTATTAATGTCAACCCTGTTTTACACAGTATTCACTGTTTATTAATGAATCGTTCATTCTGTTATTCCTGTTAGGAACACATACATTTTTAATACGCTTCCATAACTCTACATCTTCGAGTTTATATAATGCATTATAATTTCATCAACTTATTCAAATGTTCTAAATAAATATTTGTAAAAGTACAATATCGAACTGAGCCAATCGAGGACGAGATTTTAGGGCTTTAGTACGAACTTCACCTATCTTGTTTAACGAGAAGGGCAAATCATCTAATTGTATCGTAGTCGGTAATTATGTTTACATTTTCGTTTATTTAATCACTCAATTAAAGATATTTTGGAATCATATCTATCATAGGATTAATTGGATGTATGACTTCTGCTATGTAATTTTGTTTCCATCATGACTGAATTCTCTACACTTTACACGTCTGTAACATGATGGAGTGGCATTTTCATTGTAGAAAACTTTACATTTTTCATGTAAGCCAGTAAAAATGACATATAACAAAACATACCATCCATCATGAATTACGATAGTGTAAATAGTAAAGCCCGCTTCATTTTGGTTGGTTGTCGGCTCCAAGGTCAAATTCGAGAACGATCTAGAGTTTGTCCTCAACCACGAGCATTAGAAATACCTTCGTATGCTACCCAAAACGTTTAAGATGGTTGTGAAAAATCATTTATAACCACCATAGAGTAGAAATAATAATTTCGAATGAACGGAGTAGTTGTTTTGATCTCTATAGATTATAAATACCGGGCAAATTAACATTATCCCTAAATCATAACACTAAACCATGAATCCTGAAATAAACATTGATTTGGTATCATTATATCTTATGAACGAATTAATCAAATACTGTTTTTTGTATTTTTGCATAAAATTCATTCATCTATTTGACTATAGAATATTTCTGCCTTGTAACTAATATTAGTTTGTAATGTAAACCATAACCCTATATAGTGAACCATAATAAAAACAATGTGTGGAATCTATACAAATCTATTGGAATCCTTTTCATGATTTGAGAATATTGTGAATTTATATTCATAGGGATTAGTTTATATATCAGTGTTTTTTTTCTCCCGATTTACAATCAGATTAACTCATAGAATACTTGAGGCTTATTAATTGTATAAACTCTATTTACATTGTATCATATGATTATTTTCTTTTCTATAAACTTATCCACTTACAAATACTAGGAGGGGTTGTTGCTGTTGTTGTTGTTTTTGATCTATATAGAACTGGATGAAATTACGTTGATATTTATTTTAAGTTTGTCTCCATTCTATACTCTTTTCAAAACATTTTCATTTATTATTGTGAATATTTATGAGAAATTATTTTTTTTTAAATAAATAAATAACTTACATTGATACCAACCTTATTTCATCTACATTAGTGTTCATACATAAGTTTATTATCATTCATTGTTATACAACGTTGATATGTGAATGTTAACTTCAATAACATCAGTATACACATAATTATATTGTATAGCTCAATTTGATCGATCGAATATAATGAACGCTAACAACTAAATAATATATGCCGCTGTTTATCACTACTATCACTGGTACTATTCAATAATCAATGAGAATATTCAATTCACTGTGTTTTAATTGTAGGTTCTCATTATTTAGAAATTTTGAAAGTAGGCCGGAATAAATGTCCAGTGTTCTCAGTATAGGGTATTTAATTATAACTACTGATTTCCGATAGAACGTTGAACATTTTTTAACCCTGAATTGTGGATGTGCCCTACCGAGGAGTCCGATACCAGGATGAAACGGTCGTCCATTGCTTCCAGGTTCTCAATAATTGTCTAACATTGATCTGTTCATGATCACAATAAAAACTCAACGATCTTCACAACCCATTAATGACATATTAATTAGTCTATCAATTAACAATTGATAATTTTCAAATGATCTCATTAGTAGTAATTATAATATCAAGTACTTGGCAATGAATTTTATCAATGCAGATAAGTTCCTTGATGATTAAAGCATTCGAATTTGAACTATTAGTTCAGTGTTTCTAGTTCAACTCAATAGTATCACTAAACCTCACATATGTAATGTGATCCATATGATTTTTTATCTTCAAATCTAACTAAAAAATCTATGAACAGTTAATAAAAACATAAGTTATTTGAAATAATGAGATGTCATTAGACGAAATGAAATGTAACTACGTTAGTTAAATTGATTTAATAGTTAGATTCATGAGTCGATTAAAGCTAGACTATCATGAAAAACCTGGAAGTACTGGACGGTCGTTTCGTTCTAATATGGGACTCCTCAGCAGTGTAAACCATTTTCATCAACATTATCTTGATTGTATGCTTTCCTTGTTTTTCATGGTGTTTCTCGTTTTTAATTAAAAGTGCCATGTTAAAAAAACATGATTTTATGATTCAACAAAGTGTACTATTGTAATGAACAGAACACGGGTGGGGACTAATCGAATGTACTTAGCAAAAAATCACAGAGTATCTCAAGAAAGTCTGAAAACCATATAGTAAACCGTCAATTTGTAAAATATTAATCCATCACATCAAACTGGACTGTTCCTGTTGCAAACATCAATCCATTGTTCCCCATTCCATTGTTCATCAGTTTTCATACAAATTGCATTATGTTCCCGCTCTTCCTTTCTTGATCTTCCGCCATCTTTTGCTGCCAGACATTGCGTTTTTAACTCGCGTCATATACTACTTACATCAATATAAGTAGCACGCACCACACTATCACTAATAAACAGTATGACATACAAATAGGTCACTTTTCAGAAATCAATCATTTGTAAATGCTCAAGTCTTATAGGCGATCAATCAAGGCACAAATAGTCCAGTGGCAACGTCTCGAACTGTGAAATTGAGTGACGCAAGTTTGAATTGCAATGGGAGTATCAGTTCCCTCATGAACTTTGGTACACCTTGGTGATGAGTGCGAATTAGCATAAAACATAGGCCCAGAGTTTTCTCTTGAATACCTCCAACCACTTAAGACTTTAGTTTAGTGCATGTCATATCGAGTCACTTAGACTAGTGGTCACATTGAAAATTGATTTATAGAATTCGATTAGCATTAAAAGACTAGAAAAACATGATATTCGTTACTTCTCATGGGTCAATCAATTGTATGTGCATATATTGTTTTTTAATGAGGTTTGTGGAGATTAGTTTGATTTTAATAGACAGTTTTCATCAACAATTGACCGCTGAAGGAAAACATTTAAGACTACTAATCGTACAGTTTTTTCATCTTAATATACGACTCCTTAGCGCTAAGTATCACCTACCCCCATTAAGGCGAGAACCATGTATACGTATTAACTGAAGTTAGAAGTATATAATAATGAGGATTACAACTCAACGGTTTAATCGTAACATTAATCACTGTGAGACTTCAAGTTGATAATGAGATTTGATTCTTAACTTATTGGTTGGTTTGCATTGTTTAGAAGTCTTTGACCAAGAACGGAACATTAGTCCAATACTCCTCAATAGTTTAATACTTCTTCAATGAATATTAGTCGTTATAGTAAACCATTATCGTCTATAGACAGCGTTTTCTTTACTTTAAAAAAAAAGAAAAACATTTTAATGAGAAATGTCTCGAGTGCTACTGTTATAATCTCTTTCTCCTTACGGTTAATGACCCAGCTATTCCTATTGCTTAGTATTCTCGGACACCGATTCACTCGACAAGTCCCCAAATCAGAACACGGTTGAACAGGAAAAAGATTATATTCCGAATAGCAAGTCAGAAGCCAGTAGGAAGCACAATAGAGAAAACGTCAGTATATTTATAGTTTTTACATAAGAAGATTCTAGAGTCTTCTCCAACTATCGACCAGTGCTGATTGGATAAGAATTAGCCAATCAGCGTGCACCAAAGCAATCATGCATTGAGCATGCTTTAATCTAGTCTATGTCCCGCTAACACCTCCCCTCTGAGCAGATTCGTAGGATCTGGTGTTAGGGTCCAACTGCGACTGAGTGACTGGCTTGTGCTTTCGATTAGTTCATCGTCTAGGCAATGAAGAATTATCACCTTTTCCTTGCACAGAGACTGACGTGTCTGTTCCCGGCGTTTCGATTTTTTTTTTTAAAAAAAAGTATGGATAACTTTTAATTCTCCAACATTCTCCTCCTCCTCCTCGAAATAATGTTGGGTCCTTATGGCTCCAAATTACAACTAGTAGGACTTTATTTAAACCATGTTTCTCGTATTGACTGGAGAATCCACTAAAAATGACTAGATGGTGATGAACGACCTTTGATTTGAGGTCAAATTTCAATTTTTCTGAAGCATTACTTTCAAATCCATTAGGAATTTCATCAGTGGATAATGGATCATTACGGAAATCATCATGTAACAAAATTAAATTAGACTTTTGACCATAATTTGACTCAGCTGATATATTTTCCTGATTTTTATAAGAAATTTCATCAAAATAACATGCATTGTTCTGAGAACCCATGTCTGATACATTGTCATTAGAAATCGGATAAGCTGATTCAATATGAGTTTCTGTCTCACAATGATTTTGAGTAACATTCAGTATAATTGGGTTCGTTGTGTCACTGCAGTTATTTTCTGAATACGAGTCCTCATAGCTTTCTTGGCTAATATCACGTGGACCATAAATTTGTTCTAGCTGAAAGTTATTTTCAGAGCTAGACAGGACCAGTAGTGCTTCATTCAATTCTGGACTCCGGGCTTCATCTACAGGGTCTGACTCTTGATAATCTCGTATTGCCACAACTTTATGAGCATTCAGCACAGGATTTTCTTGCTGTGAGCCGGAAACGTTACAAATATTACGTTCTGATTCAGGTATAAAGGGATTTGAACCCTCCACTAGATATGCTTCTGAAATGTCTGTTACTGCATCATAAACAGATTTCTTATTTTCTGGTCGAGTGAAAAGTGTGCTCAATAGTTGTTGTTGCAAGGCTAACAACTTCTGCTGGTGCTGCAATATTAACCGCAACTGTTCTAAAGAAATTGCCATTTTTCTTTAGTTTTTCCCCGTCGCCACTGTTATAGCTCTGTTTCTTCTTACGCGGTTAGATCCAGCTACTGTTATAATCTCTTTCTCCTTACGGTTAATGACCCAGCTATTCCTATTGCTTAGTATTCTCGGACACCGATTCACTCGACAAGTCCCCAAATCAGAACACGGTTGAACAGGAAAAAGATTATATTCCGAATAGCAAGTCAGAAGCCAGTAGGAAGCACAATAGAGAAAACGTCAGTATATTTATAGTTTTTACATAAGAAGATTCTAGAGTCTTCTCCAACTATCGACCAGTGCTGATTGGATAAGAATTAGCCAATCAGCGTGCACCAAAGCAATCATGCATTGAGCATGCTTTAATCTAGTCTATGTCCCGCTAACAGCTACATTCAAATCAATTATAAATTTATTGGCAAAATAAGTATCACAACAAATTATTGGCTCAAATCGCATTATATCCTTTTTTTTGGAAAAATACTGAGTAACTATTTCATATCGTGTCATTAGGAATTACTGTTTTACATTTAAAAGTGTAGCCTGTTAACAAGTGGATATAAGTAATGTGACATGAATAAGTAAATGATATGTTAACTGAATTCTTTAAAGTTTGACTACTATTATAACTTCGAAATACAAGATAACATTGAAGTGCATTGATTGGTTCATTTTCAACTAGTGGTGAATAAGCTGAGAAGATTCTAGAAATTTCATGTGTAAAGTTTTTATTTATACACTGACATTTTCTTATAATAAACTTATATTAGTGGGATTTTTTTCGTGGGAGAAATTTACTTTTCTCTTCAAGCTGTGTTTTGAATTGAGAATCAGTTGAATGAAATATCCCAAGACAGTAGGCAGTAGAAGAATATTAGGTCGAAGAAGAAGAAGAGTTAATCAAGTCAAGCATACAAGGATAAATAAACATTCAAGGGTAACTCAATGTTTATTGTTTACATGTATATATATATATATATATATATATATATATATATATATATATATTAAGTTGAGTCGCTCTTCATTCTTTTATCTACTCATCAGCTAGACATGTATGCATCTCACTGACACTCAAACTCAAGTATCGTTCACTTCAGATACTAATCCGCTTTTGTTCTGAATACTGATGACAGAATAAGACCAAATCCTTACAAATAATATGTGTATGATTATATGACACATTAAGTTTCTTAGACAGATTTATTGTCTTTCTTAAATGAGTTTAATATTCTAGTCAGTGCTCTTTTGATCAAGACTCTTTTTTACAATGTTGGATTGTTAACTTCATATCCAAATCACATTATTTACCTGGGATTTAGACAGACAGTAACTCTAGAAAGTCTCCAGATAGAGTTGTGTTCATTATTAATTAAGTAAATAAATTTATAATTGAATGTGAGTATAGAAAATATCAATGATCTAAATGTAGATAATAATCAGTTGAATTTGATAATAAGTAACGTTTAATTATCTTCTTAAATTTAATCTTCTTTTTTTTTCTCTTTTAATGTATGTACCCTATATCCACATTGTTGCATCTTCAATACTCTCTGTTACATACATATAAAATTAGTCCCATATACCTTTAAGTTATTCCACAGTAGTTTAATTGAATTCTTAATGTATTTTTAATGAGTTAACAATATGTGGGACATTTGAAACTCTGTAAATTTCCAATTACTGATATTATAAATGAAAAGCCTATAATTATATATATTGTATTATCTATGAATAGATTCAGTATACTGTAAGAACATTTTAATATCTATCACCACCGCTAATAATAACAAAGAACAAATAAAGAGATTTTTAAATGACTGGAAAATTTATTTATTTTTCTTTCAAAATACTTGCTAAAGGCCATTTTGGAATCATTTATATCTTTTTAAACTGTGCAAAGACAATATGTTGTCTTCTTTTTTTTTTTTTGCTACATACAGTTTTAATGTGTGCGTGTGTGTATCGATTTATGCATACATGTCTGTAATGAATTTACCGTTCATAGCCTCCCAACTAATCTAGCAAAGTTACCCTTCCATGTTTTATCTAATTTATTTTATCTCATGGCAAAATTATACTAACCAAGACATTCTTTTTTATCTGTACTTCTTGAATGATATTATTATAGAATAATGGAATTTTTTTTCTAAATGGGTATATCGAAAAATTGAAATTGGGAAGATTTTATACATTACATATTATTTTTTTTCTATCCTACAAGATAGACTGTTTACTGAAAGATATTTACTCTCAAGTGTATCATATTATAATAAATATATACGAATGGATACTCAATAAAGAACCATGAAAAATACAAATGATGTTAGACAATGTGTTTTATTCTAATTTAGATTTCTTCAGTTATATCATATAATTGAGATAAATAATACTGAATGACCATCAGGTTTTACAGTGAATTGATTATTTAAGTGTTCTCATGAGTGTTTTAGTCATCTAAACATCTGTACTTTTATGATTCAGTTATATATATATATATATATATAAGGATAAGTGGGGACACACTCCTAATAATGAGTCTCAAACCAAAATGAAATAAACATTCATCCTCTGTTCAATACTAAAACGAATACAGCTGTTCAATGATTCCTGCTTTTCAATGGTAATGGTCAAACTGAGATATCAATTCGTGATTTTAACTATAAAACTAGTATTGTGTGTATTCACAATTTTTGAAAATAAAAACACATGTTCCAATATCACTAACCAATACATAAATATCTGTTACTCCATTATTCATCTTTTTGTTAAAAAAAGAAATAAAATAACTTGACAGTTTGTTTTCCATGTAATCACTGATTATTGGTTGAATCATTATTCACTCACATTCTACAGATATCTTTTAAAACTTGGGTATTTATAGTAGTACACAGTTGACTATTAAATTTAGAACCTGTTATTTTTGGCTTCGTTCACCATTCCACTAACTTACCATTTGACATGTTAGAACTTCATGAAATAATTGCTCCAGATAGTATTTTACAGGTATGGTTATTACAATAGGGTAAATCTGACTATCAAGTTAATATAACAGTCTACAGTTGGATAGAACAAAAGTATGTGATAGCATATGATTAAAAAAATTATTTTACTCATGTAATAAAGTGTTATTCTACCATAAAGATTTCATTTCCTTTACAAAATATTATTCACTTTATCTCTCTCTTTAATTACATTTTCTCTGTTTTGATATTATTTCTTAACACTTAGTAACTTGACTAATTGTGTTGAATTGCTACAACTCTTTAAATTGTTACAATTAATCAGTATGTAATACATACTAAAACTTCATGTTAACAGGTAAATGAGAGAAATCAAATTATTGTCTCTACGTTTGTACATACGCTTATGTATGTATACATGTATGTAGGTATGTAGGTATGTATGTATGTATGTATGTATGTATGTAGACATGAATGCGTGTTTTACACTATGTTTAAAATGAGTATTACAAAGCAACACAAATCTAATGTCATACTACAACTCAATTTTAAAATATACACCAGCCAAATTATAAATACTTCATATATTTATTTCAATGATAAAAAGAATGATGGAAAAAAAAATTTTATTTTTATTTTTACAATTTAAATAAACATTCAATATTTACACATATAAAACACGTTTTCATACCTCTAACATACATTTATATACCTCAGTATAGATTGTTGTATTCAGTCATGAATTCAGGTTAGTAATCATATTTCACTTGGAAACGTATCATTTTAAATAAATGATCTTGACACAACACATTATACAATAAATAAATCAATAATCTATCAATACCCTCAGGTGAATTATTCGGTGTTGAATAATTAGACCCTTTTGTATGTGTGTTTCTATTGTATTTCTTATCCAATATATTCATATAGTTACATAGATATAAGATTTTTTGTATGCACAATGTGTGAACATATGTGGAAATCATTAAAAAATATAGTTTTATGAAAGTACACACTTTATTATTATTATTATTAATATTATTTACATATTCACATTTTATTAAGACGTATACATACTACTTAATTGATCTAACAAATAAGAGGGTCAAATAATTAGAATTATATGTTTCATTAATTTTATTCGTAAGAAAAAAAAGATTCAGTTTCAAATAAATCAGTCAGCCAGTAACAACGTAGAACTTCATACATACGTACATCAGTTTGAGTTGCCACACCACATTAGCACAGAGATGTAGTTGTTGATTCGATTCCCGTAGTGGTAGAGGTAGCAAGAGTATAAGCAGTAATCGGGAAGATTAGAGTTGGAAGATGTTATTTAAAGAGTATAATAGAGTGAAATAAATTTGGAAAGAGAAAAAAGAGGCAGGGAGGATTCAGGAGATTAGAATTTGGGAGAACACAAAGAGTGGATGCACCTGCGCCATTGCAAACGATTTTGAGCCATGTCATTCAGGGTCTCTAACCATCGGTTGCTACCATCTCGCGGACCGCAACCAGGTAGTCTACGCCTACCAACATGGCTCAGTTCACTTGTCAGTGACCTCATGGACTTGTGCCATGTTTTGGTCTGGCCGCCCCTAGCTTTCTTCCAACCTACTCCTATGAAGTTATACTACTTCATCAATTGATTTGCCATCCTTACCTAGTACCCGTTTCCTAACAACTGTGTTACTTACTCGATGGTCCCATGATATACGAGCAATGTTTCGAAAACACTAGATAATTTAAAATGTATTAAGATCTAATCAGTCCTATAGCTCCATTGATAAAACTCATTGCCTAAATAAAATAGAATATGTGTATATCCAAGCGGCGAAGAAGTGGGGTTAATACAATTTAATAAATGAATCAGAAAACAGTTTCCAAGTGATAAGATGTTTGGTACAATAATTTTAAAAAAAAGTTCTTTTCAAAAAATTTTAACAACATTTTTACTTATTTATTCAAGTATTTTGACCAATTGAGTTAACTTTTTTTTCTCTCTCTCTCTCTCTCTTTCATGTACATTTAGTTTCCATATTGCATGTTTAATTCTGCCATAAAACATAAGTGAATATTCTCTTTCTCATCTATTATTATTACTATTCAATTCAATTATAATTTCTGTTAACAATATCTACTCAAGAAAACTTTGCATCAATCTAGAACTGCTCTAACAAGTCTGTTCTTTGTTTGTTTGTTTGTTTTTTCTGATAAAAACAATGAACATAGAATTAAATATATGTATTTCTTAAATTAGCCCTATTCAACATTATTGCCATCATTTTTTTTTGTTAAAGTGGTTAGTTGAAGTATGTAATGATTATTATTACTGTTGTTGTTTTGAATTGATGAATAGAGTTTTGTTCATTAATTTAATGAATTGCTTATACTACTTTTCTACTTATCTTTTCACTGCTATTAGTACTACTACTACTACTATGTGGACTACTTTATATTACTTAATGATTGTGTTTCTATCTATTGTCGAATTTGAAACAACTGACAAAATAACAACTTATACATGTTAACATGTTTTCTGTAAAGAGA